ACTCAGCTAAGCTGTTCCAAAATTTCTAACCCTAAGCAACTGTGTAAGATAATAAATATCTTTCATTTTAAGCTGCTAAGTTTTGGGGTAATTTGTTACACAGCAATAGACAATATATCTTTAAATCTGCAGTGAACTAGTGAGCATCACTTAAGCTCCCAGATTCATTCATTCTCATCATTATTGAAGTGTTTACTGATTTTCCAATTCAGCAATAATTTACTTTTTATGTGAAGAAGGAGCTTCCTTTGGATTTACCAAAACAGAAATGCTTTCTTTTACTGTCTTTGGATTTAAAAAATAGTAGAAAATTACCTTACATAACTCAATATTTTCAGTATTAAGGGTTGATCTCACTGAAAGACTTTGTTCATTGAGAGAAAAACAGACTGTACTTTTTAATTAGTACAGTCAAAAATACAAACACATGTTTGTTTGGATTAAAATAATTATACATTTTTTATTGAGAAAAATATTCAGAATAAACTAGTTTGAAATGACTTGTTTCAAAATCATAAAACTGAAATGTCTACTTTCTTAAAAGTACTGTAGTATTCCTAATGCATATTCACCATCATAATCACTCACACGTTTTCAAAATAATGGAATATTATCTAAGGGCAACAATGGTTTAATCACAATTACCTGTCAAATACATTAGCAAACTGACATCATATTAGTCACCTGGAAAAATGTAAGAAAAGACCCTAAAAACAGTCACTTTGGATGGTATAGAATCCAAAATTCTTCACTAATTTCTTCTTTCTGACCACTTTCTTCTTCCAAGTTTTTGAACAATCTCAGATTGTTCAAAGTGGGTCTATGGGAAACTAAGTTCAAACTCTAAACATTCCTCTACTAGAGCACAAGCAATCCAATCAATGATGAAGAAAAATAGATCAGCCATTAGTCTGCTCAGGCTGTCGTAACAAGATACCAGAAACTAGAAGGCTTAAACAGAAATTTATTTTCTCAGAGTTCTGGAAGCTGTAAGTCCCAGGGCAAGATCGAGCAGGGCTGGTTCATGGTAAGAACCCTACCTATTCCTGGCTTTAGACAGCCATCTTATTGCTTGCTATGTCCTCAGTGGGTGGAGAAAGCAATCCAGGGAGCTCTCTGGTGTCTCTTCTTATGAGGACACATACTAACAGATCAGGGTTCCACCCTATGACTTCATTTAACCTTACATATTGTCCTTGGGATTTGGGCTTCAACATATACATTTGGATGGCGGTGGGGAGTAAAATTCAGTCCATAGCAATTAGAAAGAAATGAATCAGAGGATTTTATCATGTACAGAGACATCTATGTGATAATATTCTTGATACTTTCCCAAATATCCTCTAACCTTAGAAAATAGGTTACTTCAACATCATCAGCTCATTTGGCTCTGCTTTAAAATTCTAAGGCCATTTTTGTCCCTAATCAGAGAAAGGAAGGAGCAGAGAAAGGAGATGTGGAAGTTCGTGGACAACTACAGAGTTAGAGGGCACAGTCCACACAAGAGACTACCCCCACTTCTAACACCAATTGCAAGTTCAGAGGCTTCCTAAAGTCCCCTAAGGTTCAAGAATTCCCTAGAATTATTATCAGATAATAAACTATTATTACTTTATTATTAAAGACTCAATGAGCTCACTGAAAACTGTTATACTCATGGTTATGGTTTATTACAGGGAAAGGATAAAGATTTACACTGGGGAAGAGAAGCACATAGGACAGAGCTCAGGAGAGCACCAAACATGGAGTTTCTGATGTCCTCTCCCTGTAGACTCACGGACATGCTACTCTGCCCATATCTACCAGTATGTCTGACAATGTACATGGAGTATTATTGCCAACCAGAAAAGCTA